GCCACCCGCGCCGCCCGAAAAGGCCCCGCCAAAGCAGGCCTCTCTCCTTTCTTCTGTCCTCTCGCCCCCCAGGGGGAGCCCCACGGTGCGAGAGAGACAGCGGGGAAAAAACGACTCCGCGGAACGAGGGGGCGAAACCGCAGAGCCGGGCCTTTTTCGGGGGTTTCCCCCCAAACGGGGCGCCGGGCCCCGCGGGGCAAAGGGAAAAAAAGGGCCCCAAATGAGCCCCGGCCCGGGGCCCCCAAACCCGCGACTCACGTAAGCAGGTGAAGGCAGAGCCCGGGCGGGGAAAGGGATGCTCGGAAGTCCAAGCCCGGGTCACGAACCACAGACACGGGGCCCGGCCGCTGCGAGTTGGAACCCCAAAACTCGAAACTCGAAGCTTGCACTCGCTACGCCCCCCCTCGTGGGGGGGCCCTCGGGTCCGCACCACTTCGACACGCCGGCAGGGGGCTCGAACTGCGTACACGTCGCGAACCGCAAAACACGACGGGGCCAAGCACGCACGGCCAAAGCAAAACCCCTCGGGACGCCAGCGACGGACCGCTGGCTGGGAACGGGGGGGCGGGGGCGGGGCGGGGGGCGGCGTCGGCACGGCACTGGAGCCAAAACCCCCCACCCCCTCCACCTACGGACCGGCGCGGCCGCCTGCGTCCCTGCCTGGCGGGCACCGCGCGCCCACCGGACAGTCAAATGGGCCCTGCAGTCCCTGCAGTGGCATGCAGCCGCAGGACAGTCGAACAGGGACAGGGAAGCCCCTCGGGACAGCCGTTCGGCGTTGCTCGGGGCCCGGCGGCCACGCACAGTGGGCCAGAAGCCCGGTGGAGGTGGCCAAAACTCCGGACGTGTTTTTAGCTCCAGAGTCGCTAAAGAGGACTCGAACCGAACGTGGGACCCCCCCAATGGGTTTCTCTACGAACGAGGAGTCCATTGGCGGGGGCACACGTTCGGTGCGAGTCCCATTTAGTTTCGGCCTCCTCCGCCGGTCTTCTGGCCCCCTGTGTGATTCCGAGAGTCGTTTCCGCTCTCTCTCCCTCGCACTCATGGCGCCTCCCAGGTAGGTGCGAGAGAGACAGAGCGACGACTCTCGGAATCAGTCTGCAGGGCCACACGCCCTTCGGCCCCCCGGCCCTCCGGGGCGCCCTTTGGCGTGTACAGTGTGCCCCACCTAAGATAGGACGTGACCGGCACAGTGGCCCTAAATAGGGCTCGCTTATCGCCCCGGACAGGCGAGGGACAACATCCCTGCAGCCTGCAGGGCTCTGCAGGGCCGGATGGTAATCCAGCGCCCCTGGAAAACCGGAACCCACACTGGCAGAACGGACAGGCGCGCGGGGGAGGTAAAATAAAAAGAACGCCGCCGCCGGGATTCGAACCCTGCCGGCCGCCTTGTGGCGCGGTGGAAGGAGGAGGACGATCTGCTTTCCGTCGGCGTCACAGACACACCCACACTCACACGATCACACACTGGTAGCGACAGCAGTAGCATTCGGGCAAGCATGCGACCGCCACACGCGCCTCTCCCTCATCAAGTATTCCAGGGCGGTAGAGCAGCGGCCAGGCGCGCGCGGGCGCGCACACACACACACACACACACACACACACACACATGCGGTGAAAGAGATCACGGTACAAATTACAATCAGGCGTCGCGGGGGTGAGCAGTGTATGCATGTTTGCAGAAGTGCGACGCGTCCCATGCGAACGGCGCAGCCACGGCGGGGTGGACCATTCGCGCCAAGCCCAGTGCAGCAGCAGACCGATTCCGAGAGTCGTCGCTCTGTCTCTCTCGCACTCTGTCCCTGGTAGGTGCGAGAGAGACAGAGCGACGAAAGCGACTCTCGGAATCGGTCCGCAGCGGGGCCCGGCGGCGCAGAGACGAGGAGAGACGTCGCTGCCTAGCGACGCGTCGCGACGGCCAAACACACGCAGCGCCGCGTCGTCGTCTGCAACATTGTCG